ACATAAGATTTTTGCTCACCTTCCATAATGCTGAGAAAACCCTTGCAATATCTCAACGGACCCTTCATTCTCAGTGTGCTCCAGTGGGAGAGCTGTGCTCATGGCAGCCACACTTAGAGGAGACAGCTGTTTTCCCAGCTGCGATGTTGCAACCATCATTCTGATGCCAAAGCAGAAAAAGTTGTTTTTTTAAAACAACAATGGTAGCAAAAACTGTCCTTCTAACAAATGTATGGTATTATTCCTCAATTGGTTTTTAAGACATGATGTTTCCCTTCCTACTTAACAGTGTACAGAAGGAAACAATAAAACTTGCCTCACACATCTGAAGGGTAGTTTCTGGGCTGTGCCCTCATGCTGGTCTGGAGGAAAATAAGGAGCAGGAGGCTCAGCCAAGAGCATGTGTGGAAACTGGCACCATGAAAATACCCCAAATTCCTGCTCCCATCACCGCTGCTTTTCGCATGCCCATTTCTAGGCAATGTGACAATGTGTTTGCTTACTGGTTATATCACCACTGGAGACAGACTGTCCTCTGGGGCTCCTCCAATAGGAGGATGATTTGTTGGTTTAGCAATCATTAACTCATCCCTATTTTTTGGGTTTTTTTAACGCAAATTAAAGTCGGCAGTGGAGCAGGCTCCTGCTGCGCAGTGGCAGCTCCTTGGCAGCTCCTTCGATGCTCTCTGGTTAGGTCCCCTGTGCCAACCAACACATGGACTTCAGCAATTGTTTGGAGAGCTTCAGCTGGCTTCTCATCAGACCCATCTTCCCAGAGCCGTGCTGGCAGGTAACCCAGAGACCTCTCCGAAAACAGCCAGGGTTTTCGCTCAAACCACTAATGCATATATTAGCTGAGTTACTTACAACTGGAAGTGAGCTGCTGGGCACCGCGTGTGCCTTTATCTGATCATCTAGTGAAACGAGAATTTGTGGTTACCGAGCAGTTAGGACTGGAGAATTTAGGTACATGCCAATAGTTTCAGTTTAGGATGAGGTCAGTGGTCTCGGCTGATTCCCGAGGCATCGATGGGAAGGTATCTGGGACATCCAAAAGGCTGCTGACAACATCAATCAAAAGCCATTACGTGACACGTTATTTGCGTGGGGATCTGCTGTATTAAGATGCCGTGTGGTTGGAATCAGATAGTTTTAATTGTTATCATATGTAATTGACAGCCACATAATTGTGTCCGACTGATCTTTAACAGTGTTTGTTTTTCAGACTCCTTTCCCGAGGCCCGGGCTCTTTGTGGATTTACTTCAGTGGTCTCTTTAATATTGAAAGAAAAACCTTAAGTTTTCAGAGGCCGGACATCACAGTGATCCTACATCCAAACAATGGAGTGTCTGATGTTAAACCAACATTGTAATCTGACCTTCCCCAAAATTTCAGAGCTCGTTATAAAATGGTATTTAGCTGTAGAAGCAGCTCTGGAACCTTTTGTTCTGACCATGCAAAAGCAAATAGACAGATTCTGCTTTTAGTCACATTGTTTTTGAGTGGATTTACTCTCTGGTTTTGCTAATGTAACTGGCTCAGCCAGTTTCCGGGAGGTATGATACGCTACAAAGTGGAAGAGGGGGGAGGATGCTAACGGTTATTAATTACTGTTGTTTGACAGAAGCAGAAAGTATCTGAAGATACATTGTGGCTCTAATTATTTTAAAAATAACACCGAGACACACTTTAGTGCCACCACGTAGTTCAAAGCATGTGTAGTGTCAGTATTTTCATATTAGTATATTAATATTTGCTAAACTAAAGTGACTTCCATTTCTTCACTGTCTTTTACCTCAGGTTTGTGTCTCACAAATAAGGGCTGTTCTCTCCAGCAACTTGCAGGGTTGCAAGACAAGTTGCATTGCAGACTTCATTACACTTTTTAAGTGTTTGATAAACTTTTTCTTTCATAATATCCCTTAAGGTAAGATTAAACAGTGATAATCCACCTCCTTAGAAGGCGGTTCTTAATAAGCAATTGTCTTAACAAGACATACCACAGGCAGATGAGGAAATGTTTGCTCAGGTAAATTTGCATACATTCATACTCACAGAATGTGATCAATTTGTCTGCTCGTATGTCTTTACACCATCTCCAGCTATTCTTCTCTTAAACAAAAATCTCTGGCTTTGGCTAAAGAATGTCTTCCTCTTGGCCTTAAGAGATCATCAAATGTATCTGGTGTGTCTCTGGAAAGTTTTTTTCCAACAGATAAGCATCATTATTATTAAAAAGGCAGCGTACTTTCAGTCTGTCTGGCTTAAGTCTCGAGCCCATGGTTCTCCTGCAGGATGGAAGAGTAATTTCTTACTTCATATTTCCCATCTTCTTTCTGATAAACTAAACAGATGAAACTCTTTGAATTTTTAAGTATTTATTTATTTATTTTTAACTGCAAGGAATTCCTCTTTGAAAGATTTTGTGGCTCTTTCCTGTACCATTCCCCATTTCTGTTTGACTGCCTGGTCTTCATCATCATTTCCCATCTTGCCAAAGCGGCGTTATGCACAGATTGTATTTAGGGATATGTTTTCGTGATCATTGGTGAAATTGCTAAAGAATATTAGGCCCTGTACAGAACCCAAGGGAACACTGGGAACACTTATTCAGTCTGAAATCCCAGCTGATGCCTAGTTTTTGAGATCTGTCGGCCAGTTTTTAATCCATTTGATATGTGCTTTATTTCTATTGCACAATGCTAAAATCATAATAGTATGTCACTTTCTGTGACTTTCTGTATTAATTTAACCTTTCCTTCCTCCCTGTTCCTCCTGTGCCACTGCAGTAGCCGAGTGCCTTCCCCATAGAATGAACACCATTAAAGAAGTCCCACTGAAGACATTTCACACTATACCTAGCACTTTCCCTACATCAGGATTTCACAGCAAAGAGTTTATTTGTCTGTTGTGCACATTTTGTTACCGGCTGAATACCTGCTTGACTAAGCTGGTATCAATAGAGGGGCTGCTGGTATAAACGCTTAACGGCATACATTAATTGTGAGTTACCTTCCAGTCTTCGCTTTGATTTGAGCCAAATATTATAGTATACATCCAGGAAGCGTAAAAAGAAAAGCCATTAATGACACACACACAAACAAAGACAATATTACATTTGAAATTGTGGCTCCGAATTTCAAAGCGTGATGGGTTTAGAGTCTGGTGCTAAAAGCTTACCCATTGTCAGTGCTAAAACCAGCATCTGTACTATTGAAATCAGGAACCTGTGTTGTTGGTATTCTTGAAGTTACATAATTGAATGAGACGTGCGTAACCAATTTAACTATAATGCAATGACAGGGAAATTAGCTTCTACAAGCTTTGACTATTCAGTATGTTTAATGTACCTAGAGCCCCAAAATACATGTATTTATTACCAAACCCTGTGGATAAACAGAAGTAAATCGGCCCTGAGAAAACCTGCTGATAACAGTATTCTGTAGCTGGCTTTCAAATAAGTTGTTTGAGTGCAACTGCTGTAGAGTATCATGCCTGATCTGGAAGACATGGAATGCAAGACTAAGTTAGCAATGCTGAAAAACATGGTCCTGTAGCTATTTTATATTAACTCTAACAGTTTTTATAACATAAATATACCTAAATGTGTCCAGTTCTGGGCTTCCCAGTTCAAGAAGGACAGGGAACTGCTGGAGAGGGGACAGCAGAGGCTACAAAGATGATGGGGGGCCTGGAGCATCTCTCTGATGAGGAAAGGCTGAGGGACTTGGGTCTGTTTAGTCTGGAGAAGTGAAGACTGAGGGGGGATCTGATCAACACCTATAAATACTGAAAGGGTGGGTGTCAGGAGGATGGGGCCAGGCTTTTTCCAGTGGCGCCCAGGGACAGGACAAGAGGGAACGGGCACAAACTGGAACATAAGAAGTTCCACCTAAACATAAGGAGGAACTTCTTTGCTGTGAGGGTGGCAGAGCCCTGGCAGAGGCTGCCCAGAGAGGTGGTGGAGTCTCCTTCTCTGGAGACATTCAAACCCCCCTGGACATCTTCCTGTGGGACCTGCTCTGGGTGACCCTGCTCTGGCAGGGGGTTGGACTGGATGATCTCCAGAGGTCCCTTCCAGCCCTCTGTGACTCTGTAAATGCAGCACAACTGATATGTAATTAGTATAAGAGTGTTAGGTAAGTGTGAAAGGAGCTGAGGGGAGTTAAATGTTCCCAAGGCAAAGGTCCGTGTATCTTTGTGACCTTGCTGAAGCTATTGCAGCTTTTCTGACCTCCACGTTGTGCAGAGAAAGGGAGGAATTGTCATCACATCTCTGAGTGCAAGACTTCATTTGCATCACATATGATTTGCTGGGCAAGGGGAGGGGGATTGTTTTGGTTTGGGGTTTTTCTTACCTGTGTGTCCCTGGCAGTTCCTCTCTCGTTACTCACCTGAAGACGACACTTAGCTACGTGATTTTGTCAAAAAATAACGAGGTAAATAAGGACAAAGCCTATGAAAAACGGTGGTTTAGCCTAGAAGGAATTTCAGCTGTGGATGAAAGTCTTCCTTCTGTCCAGTGGTAAATTCCTTTTTGACTGCAGCCACCTCAAAAGCAGACATCAGGCAGATCAAAGGACTCCTGAACTCTGAAGGGTATCGATGCTCCTGTTTTGAACACAAGTAGGGATATTGTTGCAGTAACTTGGGATATGGACTACAAATCAGATGATGTCTCCATCATTTTCTTTCAGGTCACTAGTATGAAAGGGGATTTGTAAAAAGGGAAATGTTTCCACCTCCCTCAAATAGTAGTAAAAAAAAAATCCAGCAAAATAAGCAAGTGGTTGGCTAAATTCAGCATTCACATACATGTGCCGTTTCCCATTTGTAATCAATGAGAAACTTCTGTATGCACCCCAGGGCAAAATCTGGCTCATCATATGTAACACTTTAACGTTAATTTAGGATGATTAATGATCAAGTCAGTAGCTGTCTAATATTTGTGACTTCTATTCTACCACTGCTTAACTTTATATTATTTTTAAATTTACAGCTACCGTGGAAAATGACCAGAAATCTACAATCTGAGAAAACCCATCCATCATCTTCAGGCAGTCTTCCAATCTGTTAACTTTAGCTGCTACTAATAAGTGTCTCAGTCCAGGAAAAGCAATTATTACGATGTTTCACAGAATAGCTTCCAGATAGCATATGATGCAAACTGCTTTTGGCAACATTTCTTCTACGGAGGCAGTCTTTTCTTTTTTTTTTTTTCCTTCAGTGAGCAACTTTACCAAAGCCAACGTGATAAAAACAGAGGTAGAGGGGCAGAGCTGTGGGAAATGAGGACTGACCGTAGCTGCTGTGCCCGTTTACACCTTCTGGTCACAGATTTCTATGCTTTGTAAAACCTTTCTTAGGCATTTTATCAGTGTGCAGACTCCTTGAGTAAGAATGAGAGATATTACATGTGATGGAGATGTGGTCACTGATGTGCTACATCACACAGGGCCAAATCAGGCACCCTGTTTTGACTGCAGGTTGGCTTCCAGAAAGCAATAGTTCATCTACTATTTAACGTACATAATATGATACCAAACAAGCCCAAAGTCAATGCATAGAATCATAGAATTGCCCAAAACGTTATTTGGTAACTCAGGTGGACATCCTGCAGATGTAGACAGGTTGGTGGAAGAACTTAACTGAGCTCCAAAAACAAAGAGCTTCTCCTTAGAGAAGGGGAAAACCAAATGAGGATAGTGTCAAAGGAGCAGTGTATGGTTTATCTGGGACTACCTCCACCGTCACCGGTAATGAGGGATCTCTGGTGAGGGATTGAGGAGGAAAAATTGACAACAAACACAAATTGGCAAAACTCTGCTTTAGGACCTTAGAGCCAACGCGTTTAGGATCAGTCAGATTATCACATGGTGGCACCTGGCCAAGCCTCTCCGACTAGTTTTTATTGAAAGTTCCTCGCTACTAGCTCCTAGCTGTTCTTCAGGGAACATCTGTAAGCAGATGTTAGCTCACAAGTAACTTTGGAATCAATTCAGTCTGCCCCTGCCAGGCTCCTCGATCTTGATGGCTGTTGTTAGCAGATGATATTCAGCGTGCGTCCAGACACCCATCCACCTCATCAGCCTGAATGACTTGTCTTTTCAATTCCACTTTCATAGCGTATTATAGATCGTCTTGGCGTGTTTGGATTTCTGATTGCAGACTTGCTTTCTGAACCTTGAAGAATCTGACACTAAGAGGGAAGCACGCTCTGGATTTCTTCGGAAAATTTCAGATTAATGTGCTAGATCTTGTTGCATAATATGTAATCCAAGCCCAGACACCCACTACTTTGCAAGCAAAATTTTGGTCTTGAATCCCATTGTTGTTTGCTAGAAGAAATGAGCTCAATGGGACCATGGTATGGTAATAATCTTTGTTTGGCATTTGGTTCTTGATTAAGGAGATACATATACTGGAAAGTTAGAAACTATAATTTGCCCAGCTTAAATGAAGCTGTTTGGTGTATCAAGGTACTTGCTTTAAATCCTCCAAGCTGTTTTGTCCAGCAGATGTGCACACACACAGACACATGTATTCTTAAAATATGTGTACACATTCATCCTATTATATATGCATTCCTTACATATATTATTTTCATATAATTTGTACATCATTATTCCTTATAAATATGTAATATCCCTTCTTATATATTCATCCATATACACACACACACATTCCTCCTCAGTATGTCCTCTTGCCTTTAATTGTTGAAGACTGATGGATGCCAGCAAACAATCTGGGTTTGCTGTCTAACATGAGGGTAAGATACATTGCTGGAAGGTCAGCAGGTGGAGTTTGGGGGTTCCTGGCCCCCTGGACACCCTAAAAATAAGTGCTTGGAAAGGTTGATCTTGCCATCAGGCTATAGGGAGGTCTATGTAGCACTTACAGGAACTCCAACAGTCAGACAATTTCAAGCCTAGAAATTATCATATCCTAGTGAACTGAAAAAGCGCTACTTCTTAATGTGTATTATAGCAGAACATTCTTTTAATTAAATATGTAAATTAAATGTGCATGAGCAACAAATTTCAAGTTCAAAGTCATGCTTTGCCATTGGTTTAGCACCAGAAATCATCACCGTTTTTCTAGAGACATCCGTTTGCAGTGAGAGTGACTCTGGTTTTTCTGCTATCACCCTCTTATGTTATGTTACAGCAATATGCTCAGCCTGCAAAGTAAAGACCATTAAAAAGCATTTCTTTTTATTTTTTTAATTTCTTTTTTTTAGAAGACACACTTGTTGCCTAAATCTTTTCAGACCTATCACACCGTTTATATGCACAACAGGTCTGTGACAGTTCTATATCTTTTCCAAAAACAAAAAGTCAGAGGGAAAAAAATAAGAGTTCTTATGTCCAAGGGTGTGAAAATTACTCTGGTCTAGATGCCACCAAAGCATGAGTGTAACAGTACATATTTAAAAAGAAATAAATTACTAGATGTAGAATACAATGTTCCAGACATACCAGATGTATTCAAATTCATACAAGCCTTTTATCTGAGTAATTTACCTTCTTGAGAGGTGTGAGAAAATGGGTGACATTTTTTTCAGGTTTGCACTTTGCAACTTATTGAGGTTCCCAAATTTTCCTACATTGCTCCTTTGTGCTCACTGGGTTTGTCAGAAGAGATGTGTGAATGAAAAACCGATCTGAATTCCCCATTGCTTTTGGGGCTTGATTCAAAGAGGATTGGTGACCATAGAAGGAACTCACCCAAGGCTTCCAGGACTTCTAGTCGCATCATTAATGAAGATCTTTTGAACGCTTTGGTCTTCTCCTTCCATATGAAGAGAAATAATGATTCTGCCTTTGAAAAAGGATTTGAAATTGCCAGAGATGTACATATTAATCACTGTTATACCTGCTTACAAGCAGTCAGAAATGAAATAGCATTTAACAGAAGGACTGCGTTTTATTATATTTACAACAATGGAACTGGAATATAACCTTTTTATTTAAAAATCAAGGCGCAGATTAAGTTTTGATTGCAGTATTTTGTACTGAAAATAAGAATAATGGAAGCAATTAAGTATTCACAGTCCTGCTCTCACACAAACACCTTCCATGGTGAGCCTGTTTATGCAACTGAGTGTGCCATACAATTGTTTTTATTACCTTCTTATAAAACAGCCTGTATAAAACACTTTTTTTTGATTGTTTCTTTGTGTATTGTTGAGCGTGTTTGCATTCTAAAGGGTTTTGCCTCATTAAAGCAATTACCGTAAACTTGCTGTAGTTTGTTACTTCTTTTTTTTCTCCTCCTTTTCCTTCTCTGAACGCTAGAAATATCCATAAAGAGCTCCTGCCCAGCCGGGATGTTTGTGTGTCTCCCAAGGCTAGCAGTGGGGAGCTTCATTCCAAGGACAAAAAGAATATCTGCAGAGATTTTCTTTATATCTGGAGCATCAAACCAGCAGTGAGCCTGAATGTGGAGGGGACACACATGTGATTGAACTTCTTCTGCTCTGGCATCCCTTGCTCTTCCTCTTCTTGACCCAAGTACTAGAAGAGTAGAGACTTCCAAGTACATGTGAGAGGAGGAAATAAAGGAAAGACCTATGGGTCTGTTATGGGGTGAGGTTTTGATTGAGTCTCACATGGGTTTTGTGGTCTTTGAGGGCACAGAGCCATTCTTCATCTCTGCCCATGACAGTCCTTACCCTCTGCCCACATCTAGGATTCACTTAGTCAGATGGAAGGCACTTCCAGTTTCTCCCTGTAACACCTCAGCTGGTGAGGTGTAACGTATGTATAACCTGCCAAGGATTTCAGCAATGGGTTTCCTACTGGTGGGTGGGGATGAGGAGAGACTTCTCTCTAGGGTTGCACCTGGGTGTGTATAGCTACAGGTTGACTGAAAGCATGTTGGAAAAAAACCAAAAGGCAGAGGCTGGGCTGTGGAAAGGCTGATGAAGCAGCCTCCAATGTTTTTCCTTGAATCAATTTACGGAAAGATTCTTAGAAAAGCAAAGGCTTCCAGGTGGAGGAACCTACTGAAGATCTACAGGTGAAGGTGACAGGGAACATAGGCAGCTGGGAGCTTTCTGAAATAATGTCCTTAAATGCTGATTTGTCAGTCCCAGAACTTTCAATAGGAAGATGTTCATGTGTTCAGTGAATTTATGGTTGAAATAAGAGACCTTTGTTTACTGCCTCAGGGCAGCCAGAAGTTCCTGGGTAGGACATTCAGATCCAAAACAGCCAACCACACAGAGCTATAGCCTCTTTAAGTTGACCCGGGCACATGGAATTCAGCTTCCTACAGCCTGGGTGTATTCTGGGCTGCTGACAGCTTCAAAACAGGAATTCCTCCTGTTGGAAATGCTCCAGTTTGCATAGATGATGAGACAGTCATTAGGCAAGAGAGTGAAAGAACCTGAGCTGGCAGCCCAGGAATGAGATCACTGTGCTGGGAGGAGCAGATGGAGGTCCAGGTCTCTTCCCAGACTGACATGACATTACTTGTACAAAGAGAAACAGCTTCAGCCAGGGAAATGGGCAAAAGGACCCTACCCTCCTCCAGCATACCCTCCAGCATACCCAGCTGATCTTGGATTACAGGAAATTTTACTCTTATTTCTATATACAAATGGTTTTTACCCGCCTCTCCAACAGCTCCAGTGAGAGTCTTCATCCCTGGTTTCATCCCTGGCTCCAAGCAGGTCCCATTTGAAAGTCCTTGGTAGCATCCTGAAGTAGAACAGCAGCAGGGACCTTCTTGAAACTGTGAGATCTTTCACTCTGCAGGGAAACCATTTTTCCTACCCAGCTCTAATAAGGAACAAGTAGTTGAAAAATTGAAAAAAAAAAAGATTTTAAGGCCAGGAAAGTAACTGTAGCACTCAATAAAGGGGCCCTTTATTTTCAGGAGTACGCTGAAGTAACGAACATGAGTCTCTTGATATCTATAGAAATGCTAAACAGAGCCACAGGGAGGAGAATTAGTCAGGGAGAAAGCCCTGTGGTGCCCTCCGGGGCAGCCCCGGGTGAGGAAAGCCATGGTTGTTACTGCTGTCAAACAACACGCCGTGCCACGGCCACCGAGGTTCCTCCCTCCAGACTGCAAACACGGAGAGCTGGAGGTGCCAGGGCTTATTTGTCACCATCCCAGAGCCTTTTCAGTCCCTCGCTTCTGCATAAAAGAGTTTTCAAGGCTCAGTGGTGCAAGCTCTCACCTGGCTGGCCCCGCTGACCACCAGGGTGCTGTGGTGGAGCACAGCCACATAGAAACCTGGTGGGCTGCCTCAGGAAACTAGCAGAGAGCCTCCTGAGCTAGAATGTAGGAAAACAAACTTAATCCTGCTTTCCTGCTTCATGCAAGCTCCCATTTAAGTGGAATTTTACCCTATTACATGCTGCAGTGTCACTGCGAACAGTGGGCTAACGCTGCTTGCAAACCCGACAGATCTTCCAGTGGTGACTGCAAAGGGTTACTCCAGAAATCTCTAATCTCTCTTCTTTCCTGGTGAGCTGTTGGCTCTAATCCCTGGGAGGTGCCCAACACCTACCTTTTAGCATCTGACTCCAAATCCGTGTCCTTTAATAAATAAACCCAAACCATAAACCCATGCATGATCCTTTTGCCCTATGATCACGTAACTTCCCAGAGAAAGGGATTCCCTCCAAATGCCCACACCAGTTCTGAGTTTGCCTCGACATTGTTTTTGTTGCAGTTGCATCACTTCGACGCAAGACTGTTCAAAACATCTGTGCTGTTATCAGAGCTGCTGTGATTTACATGTCAGCAACCACACGTCTGTCCTATGGCTTTAGAAGTGCTCACATCAGCATCACCTCCTCCTTATCTCCACACCACCGCCACTGCTCCGCTGTCTCCGGCTGTAGGGAGGTGGTTTGTATTTATTTGTTGGTTGTCTCAATGATTTTGGAAGCTGCCAGCGACTTTCCTAATTCAATAATGCTGCTACTACGGCATTAATCATTCATCATATCCTGAAAGCAAAAGTGGAGCGATTTAAGAACAAAAGGATTTAAAGAAAAATAAACACATGACCCGCTGCGGCTGCTTTGGGGAAAGTAGCAATATATGCATGGCAAAGGCAGTAATGAATAGCATCTGCTTTATCTGTGGAAGAGCAAACAGTTGTAGACATTGATCATTTCTCAAAAAGAGTGGTGTTGACCAAAAACATGGAGGAAAGCCATCCAGAAGCTATTTTGTGCAAATGAAGTGCAGATTTGTGTATATGAGTCGATACCCCATTTGTTGTTTCCTTTCATTAAAACCACAACATTAGCACTGGAAAATGATTATAATGGTTGCAGTCAAAGCCACTGTAATGCTCAATTCACAGAGAACTCACTGAGGGCAGGGGAGGGAAAAAAAAATATCCTTCAGATCTCAAAAAAGCGTGTTTTCAAGTAGTGAAGCTCTAGTGGAATAGGCTCAGGTATCTTATCTTCTCATACTCCCCCGAGCCTATTGTGCAAGTCATTCATTGCGTCCTTGGGGCCACGCAATGTGATTTCTCCAAGCACCATACTACCACCTCGGGCTCCTTGCTCTATTGAGGCCAAATCCTCGCTCCTCCTCTCAAGAGGAGCTCCAAATCCCCACTGCTCCTCCCAAGAGGACCTCTGGTGGGCCAAAGTAATTCATGGTGTCTCTTGGCTGGGTTATTTTAACCCCCTGGCTCCTAGAGGCAGAGCTCTGCAACCCCCTCAGCAGCCACACGTGCCTGGAGGCTGCCCAGCATTTTGTTCCCTGTCCATGCACAAGTAAACAAGTGTCCAGGAGTTGTGCAAATTAATACCCAGGGGATTGGCTTTGCTTTAGGTCCTCACACGCCTCCATGTGCGGAGAAAGATTTCTGTTCAGGGATTAGTATCTGAAATCATTATTATGCAGTGCTGGTGAGGGGATTGCTCTGGTGAGATGCTCACAGGAGGAGGGTTGCAGGGTCATGTCCAACGACAGTGACCTTCAGCCTTGGAGAAGATGACTGAGGAGCTCTTCTTTTTTCCTCTGTATAACATTGTGGTGTTGTTAGCTTTCATTGCTGTGAGGCGACTCGTCCCAAGATCACTTAAGGTTTCTGTGCTAGGCCCAAGTTTTTGTCTCAGCAAAACCAGGAGCAGAACGTCTCCCCTGGCCTCAGTGGCAAGAGACAGGAGCCCAGGCTCCACTCTGCCAACTGCTGGCCAGTGAAATCCTCCTCAGGTTGCCCTTCCAAGCCAACCCTTTCCCTGGAGGTACTCAGGCACAGATTCTCTTAAAACCAAGGAAACCTTCTACCCAGGCCAACAAAGTCCTTGTTGTCATACAATCATAGAATATGTTGGGTTGGAGGGGACTAGTCCAACCCCCCTGCAGTGAGCAGGGACATCTTTTACTAGATTATGTTGCTCAGAGCCCCATCCAGCCTGACCTTGAATGTCTCTGGGGATGGGACATCCACAGCTTCTCTAGGAAACCAGTTCCAGTGCCTCACCACCCTCACAGGAAAGAATTTCTTCCTAATAGCTCATCTCAGTCTCCCCTCTTTCAGTTTAAAACCACTACCCCTTGTCCTATGACTCCCCTCCCTGATCAAGAGTCCCTCCCCATCTCTCCTGGAGCCCCTTTAGGGACTGGAAAGGTCTCCCTGGAGCCTTTTCTTCTCCAGGCTGAACCCCCTCAACTCTCTCACCCTGTCCTCATAGCAGAGGGGCTCCAGCCTCTGATCGTCTTCATGGTCTCCCCTGGACCTGCTCCAACAGGTCCATGTCCTGAGCAGCAACTGCAATGCAGTATTCACTCACCCAGGAGGATCCTTTCAGTCACACAGACCTCGATGATACCTTTCAAAGCAGCGATGTAAAAAGCCTGCCAACCCACTTTGTGGCTCAGGTTGCCCACTTCTTCCCTCGCAAGATGGCTAGAAAGGGGGGAGGGCAAGTGAGACTTCTTGGCGTGGCTTCTGGACCTGAGTGAAGTTTGGGGAACGGCTGGTCCCAGGGGCTGGCTCCCCTCTTGCCTCCTGTGAAGCTGGAGCATAGCTGGGGTTTGGCACACTAACCTTCTACCTCTGCCTCGCTGGGAGAGGCCACTGAAAATATACAATCCCCAGACGGGAGCGATTTAGTGAAATTAAAAGCAGACAGGGGGCATTGGAACAAGGAGGTGTCAAATGTTCCCCCTGCCCCACCAAGATTTTGATGTGGCTGCTGTGTATACCTGTCTGTCTCCTCTTCGCCGCTGCCTGAGTTTGAAAGTTAAAATGCAC